GGGAAAACATTCACAATACTCTAGCATACCAGTAGCTGTTTTTAAAACTTGAGTGGAAGCGTTATTCTATTTAAAGAGATTGCCATTGTTCTATGTCAAGATTCCTACACTGAGCCATACAGCCATAAAGGTTTTTAATTTGAAAAATAAGGCATTTGATTTCTGGGTAAGAAACAGTAATTCAATTTCAAATAGTAAAATACGTGGCACATTTTGAAAGGGTAATGAAATTTGTCAAAATGAGCATTTTCAGATTCATTTTTAGCTTTGAAGGGACACTATTTTACAAGAAAATCACTGTCACAATTTCTTAAATCATTAATTTAGAGCTTTTAAATTTATTTTAGCAAAAATAGTTTTTAAAGTGGTATTTCCTTGACCTGTATTGCCTTCAAGCAGTGTTTCCCAAGTGGGGGTAATTTTGTCCCCCACAGGGAGAACTTCTTGTGGTCAAGACTGGGGAAATGCCAGTGGCATTTAGCGGGTGGGGGCCAAGCAGGCTGCTAATGTCCTACAAGGCCCGGGACAACTCTCCACCACAGAAAAACATCTGAAAATAAAAAAACAAAAACAAAAAAAACCCCAAAAAGTCTGGTCCATTACTCAAACCTGCTTCACAGCAAAATCACTAAAAAGCTTTAATGATTTGACTGTTAAGGTTTTAATTTTTGAATTTTAAACCCAATGTAACAGGTCAGACTCTGAACATACTGAGTCACAGTCTGAGAAAAGGAAAACATAGGCCAAATGACATTTCTGAGAACAATTAATTTTAAATATATAAAGTCAAGATACAGAATTTTCAACACAGACACAATTGTGGCATAATGTATCTCCACTTACATAAAGCATTTCACACCTTGGCTCTATAGTAAATCAAAAAACTAGCTGGGCTTGGTGGTGCATGTCTGCAGTTACAGCTACTTGGAAGGCTGAGGTAGAAAGATAGCCTGAGCCCAGCAGCTAGAGGCTGCGGTTGCCATGATGGTACCACTGCACTCCAGTGACAGAGTGAGACTCTAACAAAAAATAAAAACAAAACTGCTGGGGAGTGAGGCGGTATTAATAGGCAGCAGTGGGAATCTACCAGGGGAGGAGGGCATACCTCATCAACAAGGGTACCTGCATAATGAACATTTGTATACCTAACCCTGAATTGTATGCTCACATCTTTAAAATAAAGAATTAAAAATAAATAACAAACGCAAAAAAACACATTGAGGCAAGAAGGAAAAATAAATAAAAGTCAGAAGGCTCCACAAACTAAACAGCCTGGAGTCACTGATTTCTTTATAAACTGTGTACTTAAATTCTGAATAGTCAATTAAATTTAATTCAAAAGTTTCTGCGCCTAACTTGCTTTTCAGAAAGCATAGCTGCTTCTCCAAATTCTTTATTAAACTCCAAAGTATTTTCCTCTGAACTTTATTTGAACACACACACACTCAAAGATTTACTCCTACTTTGTATGAATGAGGGGAATCATTGAGAAAACAAATACTTCCCATGAGATTAAATGAAAATACACTTCAATTAAGTGGCCTTATGCAATTCAGATTTTTTATCAATACTGATATTTTTAAAGTATAATTTTCCTTTCAATAAAAAGTAATGTCTTGAATCTGTTATAAAAAACCATGAACTTTTTACACTGGGACGTATTTTTATCTTAAACACATGAGAATAGTAAAAATACTAAGATACAAATTGTAATCTTATAACACCCTTCTCCACCCCAAATTGTATTTGTGACTTGTTCTGAAAAGTCTACTGTAATTAATTCAATGATCTATGCAATTCTGTATGATAACTTGGAAATCAAAAGCATTAGAATAGCATGACTTAAAAAGTAAAACAGCTTATTCTGGAACATATTTTTAAAGATTTTAAAATTCTAAGGCATTTGATTGTTTCACAACAGAATCACTTCTAAATTTAATAAAGTCCAGGGTACAAATTAGGTATCTTTATGATTTACATATTAAGTTCAAACATATTTAAAGTTTTAAGAGGAATATTACTTTTGACTTTTCTTTTAAAGAAGCAAAATGCACATCTTTCCCAGTACACTGATTACTGATTAAGAAGATTTTAATTCTAAATTTAGGAGAAGCTGACTTCATCATGTGAAATAAAAGTCTCACATTTTTTCCTCCTTTCAAATTTCTTTTGGGGGCATTAGTTTGTCACTAAATTATCTTCTACTGCTAAAGGAAAAGGCAACTAAAGGACACATTTGAACCCAAGTAAATAAGTCACTAGTTCCATTGAATGCCCCAGGGAACAATCATTAGTAAATCACCACAGTGAATCTAAGATAGCTACCACAGGTATGTGAAAATGACATTATCTACTTTAAAAAAACACAATCATCTAAATAAAGAAATTGCAATTCTCAATTTAAAAAATTAACAAACAACTATAAGACTCTCCATATACACTGAGTTTCACCTGGGGTGCTATGTGAAAATGGAATTGGAAGCTGTCATGTGGGCCACATCTGTGATCTTGACAAAGTCACAATCTCTGGGCTTTCTTTTGGTTTGTTTAATTTTAAGAACAAAGCAGACTGCTCTCAGCCAGTAGTGTTCTACAGGAGCGGTACCTACACGAGGGGTTTTGGAAAGAGATGAGAGCAGTTTCATTTTGCACAGTGGTTCGCAGTTAGGGGGCAGGGTACAGGGCCTGACACATATCCAGGAACTATCCCATGTTCTCTACCACTTTCACATGTCCCTCTGTTCATTTCTTCCACTAGAACCTTCAGTACCACCATCTGTGCCTACAGAGTAACTCCTTTCTACCTATAAAACAAGTTGTTTTAATTGTTTTAACAAGCTGAATTTTCCAAGCAAATTTAATAAACTAAATTTTCTCATGTAAATGTGTCCTTCTGTTTGGAACTTTACCAAGAGTCACTCTTCATTTCAGAAAAATCACCTCACCCACAGCAAATCTGCTTACTGTATCTGAGTCAACAACATGGCACAATGGGATCCGAATTATTTTGCAACGATTTCATTCATGGTTATGCCAGGAATAGGTGCAAACAGCCACCTGTGTTATCATGTCATTCAGTAGAGTCATGCCTGAGCATTTATATATTGATTACATTATGTTTTATTGTCAATACTTCCTTGTTATCTTTAGATCACAATTAGGGAAATGTATTAATTATTCTATTTTTAACATAACATGCTTATACATGCAATTGTTTATAAGGTTAAATACATGAGGGCAAAGGTTAACAAAATATTTTATGAAAAGGAGACATCAGATCTGACAGGGACGCAAACAACTGTCCTAATATCATCAAAGGCTCCTTGCAATTCTAACAATCCTAGATTCTATGAAGAATGTTCACTTGGACAAGAACTGATCATTAGCAAGCCTTTACTTCTACTTTTACATTTCAAAGTATTGCAATTAAGTTAGAAAGAGAAATACATGTGGTTGCTAAGATGATACATGAAAACACAGACTCTGCTGAATGTTCAAACACTGATGTGAGCAGTGGGAAATTCCACAGAGCTGATGCTTTTCACAGGTTAACAGAGAGGGGATAGAAAAATACCCAAGGCAGAGCCAAAGTCTTTCACTTTTGTTTGGTCTCAAGCAGCTACACTATTGGCCTCAGCAGCTGATGTGCCTTTATTCCGTCTGTGGGCTGAGGGTCACATGTGTTAGTTATATACCTCAGCATTTCTCTCAAAAAGTCCATTCAATAAAATATACATTGGCAAGAAACACAAATGTCCCAAATGTGGAATAGGATGAACCCAACCAAACTGTGCAAATGTCTACTTAACAAAACTCATCATTCAAAAAGCCACACCTTCAACTTAATATTGGCTTGTAGATGGTAAAGCGATACTCCTATTTTTCTGAGGTAATTGTTCTCTGCAATCCAAATGAGGGATAAGCATTATATCTACTGTGCCACTTCCTATTCATGAAAATATACTGAAGACATGATTTCAGAAACCATCTCCTGTACCCTACACAACCAAGTTCTTACCATGTCCACCTCTATTATGTCTGACCATTCACCACTAACACCTTCTTCTTCCATCATATAAGTTCCCGTCACAGGCAACGATGTGTTGACATTCTACAGATTTTCATATGTATGTTAAAATAAACTCCCTAAGACAAAGTTTGAGGAAATAGTCCCTGGTGAAATAAGGTAAACCCATACTTAATAAATAAATTCTTCTTGGCCAAATGACCAAGAGCCAGAAAATACCTGATTAAATGTGAACAAAGTGTTAAACAGAAGAGAGGGAAAAAATCTAAACACAAACTTATGCATGGTCCACATACTAAAACAAGTATAAAGTCTGCTAAACCTTATAACCTAAATATAAAATTCTTCATTAGGAAAGTTTAATCTATATTGTTATTTCAAAAAGAAAATTTTACTGAGGCATTTAAGTAATATATTCTTCATAAGATTATGGAAATATTTCAAAATTACTGTAAGCTCAGATAAAAACAATAAAACTATGAAGATATGAATACATAAACATCTTTTTAACTCATGAGTTTCTAAAAACAAAAAAAATTACTTATAATTTAGATAGGAAATAAATAGCTCTATTATCAGTGATTTTTAAATAAATGATTCTCTTAATTTCTCCTCACTGCCTTCAGATACACGTAGGATACCAAATTACCAATTTTCCGAAAACATATGTCTTTAACCACATAAACATGTGAAACATGAAAGGATTTCTGAACGAATACAGCTGACTTCCCAAGTTTCCCAGATTAAACAGTTTACTCTTGGTTCTGAGCATTTCAATGACCATCTAACATCAGTGTTTGTTTTGGAGTTTCTAAAGGTTATGGGTTGATGTTTTGGGGTAAGGAGCACATATTGACCTAACATAACATTTAAAATCTATTCAATTCAAAAATTAAGAAAATAAGGTTTGCCATTGGCTCTTTGAAAAAATAACATGCCACATCCAGGAGACCGGATCCCACAATGCTCTTACCCGCAGGGCCTCAATGACAAGGTCTCGGGCTTCCAGCTCCCCTTCCATCACGCTCAGGAGCATCCGCAGCTCTGATTTACTGAGGGTGTCCACATCAAACTCTTTTTTCTGTAACACAAATAAAACATAAGGCAATGAAAAGATGACGCCTAAGAAAGATACACACATCCTAACGGGATACAATGGATAATTTTTATCCCAGTGGTTCAGCAGATCCAAGAGGCACTGCTGAATGGTATCAGCGGTAGATCACCTGTCTTGATATTCTTGGAGGAGAAACAACAACCAAAATGCCAATTTCTCAGATCTCACCTCTAAGGAGCTGTAGTTCCCCAGCTTGCTTGCACACCCAGGTTCAAAATCTCTCCAAATTATGGAGTACAAATCTAAAGTCCCCTAGAGTCTGAAACAAAGACTCTAGGTCTGGTATATCTTGGGGAGAGGGGACAGTTTAAGCAAAGAAAGCATGGATATATTCCTAGAAGTGGCCCAATGTAAAGGCTCCTGGGAAAATATTATAAACTGCAGAACATCCAATAGTAACAGGTCATGTATACAGATCACTGTTGCAGAGGCCACCAACTGACAACCAAATTTGGCCCACAGACGTGTTACTTAGGCCACAAAGAGTGTGTGTGTGTGTGTGTGTGTGTGTGTGTGTGTGTGTGTGTGAGAGAGAGAGAGAGAGAGAGAGAGAGAGAGTGTGTGTGTGTGTGTGTGTGTATGTGTTTCCCTATTCAGCCAACATTTTAAACAATCTCAAGATGTCACCCCCAAAAAATCCAGATCCTGGTTTCTCTTTAAAAGTTAGATGAGCAAGTAACCCCAGATTCCCATTTCCATAAGGCAGTAATTCGCAGAACCAAGTTGCAGCTGCCTCTTTAGAAGGAATATATTCCTTCACATTGCCAATCCTCCCTCACCAACACACACACACACACACACACAGTACAGTATACATACTTTTGAGAGCTTGGACTGCCACTCATGTGCATTCATCTAAGCCACGGCAAGGTGAGTTTGCAAATCCCTGCTATATGGTCACCAAAGTGTTTTTTTTTAATGCAATGCCTCGGAAGCCTCTTGTCATTCTATAAGGCAGGCTTAGTAGAGAACTGAGGCTGGAATAAGTGAGCCCTCCAGAGACCCACCTACAGCCTGAGGTCAGCACCAGGGACCTGGGATTCATGATCCAACACACCCAATGCTCTTCCAACCCTGCTGTATTCTCCTCTGCATCCCTTCCCTCAGCAACTGCATCCAATCATAGGTGTAAAATTGCACTGATACACCACTGATTCTCAGTTCTTTTTGTTTCCAACTCCAATCTTTTTTCTCACAACAACTTTTACAAGTAGGTCCTCTGACATCCATTTTAGAGATAAAGCTGGGAGAGGATCGTTAGCATGTTCACCATCAAGCCTGGGTGAGTTCAAAGCCTGAGTTCTTTCCACAACGCACTCACCTTCTCCCTTCTGTAGAGAGACTCACTTGAGAAAACCAGTTACCATCACAGGAAAAGGAAACACACATTTATACCCCAAATACCTCAGTACACCCAACCTCAGAAGTCATTCTTCAAAATGTGCCAGAGTGGTACCCAATGGCTTCCAAAGTATTCTCAAAGAACCAAGTCAAATCTATACCGTATAGTCATCATTGTTTTGCTTGTATGTTTGTTTTAGTTAAGAAGCTATCATTAAGAAAATCAGATAATGTATCTAGATCATGCACCAGTAAATGGTAAAACCAGGATATAAAATCAAGTGCCATGACTCGTCCACATACTTTATCAGCATGGTATCAGCATTCTTAGAATAAGTTCTTTGAGATGAATTGTTGAAATAAGATTTAAAAAATTCTATCCATCAGCCAATACAAACTAGTTAACACCAGGCTATTCCTGTGAAGACACAGAAGTAGCCACAGCAAAGATCATAAATGATTTCAGAGGCTTTTAAAGAGGCTTGGCCAAATTGGTCATATTTCAGTGTCAAAGGGAACTTCTGGAAAGAGATATGATGGTATAAAGGGGAAAGACCAGAAATAGGGATTCTCTGAAGAAAGATTTTTCAAAGATCTCTTTCTAAAAATGGTTTCTTTTTGTGCATACGCTGGGTAGGGCACTTATTTGGAAAGGCAGGGGTTAAAGAGGGCAAAAGAAAATCAGAGCTCTTGCAAGCCTAAAGGATGTGCAGTTCTGGGAAACCTCTGCTTCCAAAGGTTAACACAGAGTTGTTTCCTGTGAATAGAAACATTTGATATACCAGGTCTCAAATTTTGCTCTCACAACACAGTAATACCACCATAACCAATTGTTCTCAAATTCTGGCATGCATAAGGATCACCTAAAGACCTTGTTAAACATACAAACAAACAAAACAGACTCCATCCCTGGAAGTTCGGATTCACTTCTGAGGTGGGGCTGTGAATCCACCTTTCTAAGAAGATTCTGCTGGCCCAAGGACTCCGCTGTGAGGAGCATTTCTGCAATATATCTAAGCCTCTGCTTTCTTATCTATATAATGGAAATCCTCACATTTACCCTGAATTCTTGTGAGGATTAAACGAGAACATATAAATGAAGTAAGTGCTAAATGAAAGCAGGCGATTGCAATTATTAACCCAGATGTTTCATGCAGAGGGAGTAGGATATTGGCCAGGATCCCATGTCTTTGAAAATCTACCAGCCCAAGTCCAATAAACTCAGTTTCTTGACTATGATGAAAGACAGGCTCTTTTATCCTGGTTTTCTCCACTGAGGTGGGAGAGTAAGCTGCAATTCTTATGAAATTTAGAAGGTAATGTTTTATTAATGATGCTGCTGGTGGCTCTAAAGATTTTAATTAATTGTGTATTTTATTGTCCCTGTTTCTCCAAAGCTTCATAAGCAAAGTGCTCCATTCTCAAAACTACTAAGTTATGAAAGACATTGCCAAGATCCTGACTCATATTAGTCAGGAGAGTCTCCTAGCCCCATCATCATCAGCGTCACAACACATGGCCTGCAACCTACACTTCTGATTTTCCATATATTACCATCAATTAAAAGGGAAATTCATTAAATTAAAAAAAACACTGGAACAAGCATTCTTGTAAAACCACAGATTATGTCACATGGAATGTTAGAAAGAAATCTGTTTCCCATAAGAATGTAATAAATGATGTATCTGTTTTAAATATACAGGGTGTTCAGCTGCCTGTAACTCCCCTTTCATGTTCCCAGCCCTGCTTCTCCATGAAGACACTACAAATTCCCGGCCTCCCATAATAAAAATATTATAATAAAACTTATATTTCCAAATTGGCACTCTCTAATAGCTGATGTTTCCATCTCCTATTCTGGCAAAACAGAATAAAAAAATAAAAAATGCTGCACGTGGCAACATGCTAGAGCTCTTAAGACTCCAAGCATGTATTTTTAGAAAAATAAACAAGTCCAGAAGCAAAAGTCAAAACAAAAAAACTATATATATTCATATGAAGTTCCATTAATTTGATGCACATATGATATAAAAGTACTTAGATACAAAAAGCTGTTATTAAAGTATCTTGGTTTAAGAGCAAATAAATTTTTCCAAGTCTTATAATGTTTATAAAAGACTATATGGATATGCAAATTCTCAAAATTAGATACAAGATAGGACAGTGAGTGCTACCACACACACACAAATTAAGAGCTCCATCAGGACACTGATGAAATCACGACCCCTTCTAACTCCAGTAAACTGACAGCAGACATGTTCACAGATTAAGTTTTTTAATAGCACCTGCTTTTCCCCATTAGAAAAGAAAAATCCAGCTTTCATTTTTTTAGTGATGGAAAGGAACTCAAACCAAACCAAACCAAACCAAACCGGCTAGATTTCAACTCCACAGGCCACTCTTCTGCCTGTTACATTTGCCAGGAAAAGTACTCCAGGAAAAGTGCTTCTTAGCACTTACTTTTAAGAATGTGGCATGACCGCTTAAACTAATTCAGGAGTCTGACCATTAAACAAGAGTGTGTCTTCTCTGGGACACAAAAAAGTCATGCATATTAATCTATTGTAGATTAACTATAATTATATATCATTTACAATATAGTTATGCACACATAAACACACACATATGGGGGACTCCCTCCCCACAAAAACCAGAATTATCTTTTGAAGGACAGGCCCCTTGAAGTAGACTCAGAATTTGTTTCTCCAGATCAAAGGGTTAACCAAAGTTTTTATCTGGAAGTTCTGAGAAGGTTTTATTACGATTTGCAGAAGAAACGTCCTGAGTAGTAGCAAACTGGTGACTGGTTCTTCCACCATGACAACACACTTGCCACACAGCAATGCATGTTCGGCATTTTTTGACCAAAAATGGCATGACCTCTGTGCCCCTAGCTTCCAATTCTCCCTGTTGCAACCTGAGTGACTTTTTTTGTTTCCCTGATGAAAAAAAGCCCTCCAGGGGAAACTTTTTGACCATGTGGAAAAGGTGAAAGAAAAAATGGCAGATGCATTAAAAGGCATCCAAATGGACGAGTTCAAAAACTGTTTATTTATTTTTATTTATTTATTTATTTTGAGTAGGAGTCTCACTCTGTCGCCCAGACTGGAGTGCAGCGGTCACTCCTGGCCACCGCAGCCTCGACCCGCTGGGCTCCGGCGATCCTTCCGCCTCAGCCTTCCAAGCAGCTGGAACTACAGGCGCGCGCTACCACGCCCGGCTAGTTTTTGATTTATTGTAGAGATAAGGGCTCGTCGAGTCGCCCAGGCGGGTCTCGAACCCACGGGCTCAGACAATCCACTCACCTCAGCCTCCCAAGGTGCGGGATTACAGGCTGAGTCACCGAGCCCGGCTCAGAAACTGTTTAAAGTAGTGGAAAAAGCATCTCAATAAGTGCACTGCATCAAATGAAGACTCTGAAGGTGACTAAAGTTTAAACATGTAAGAATAAATAAATATACAATTTTTTAATAAATAAGTTCTAGGGTTTTTTGGGGGGGGCCCTCTTGTACATATGAGAGAGGAGCAATAGGCTCAAGCTCTTAACTATTCAGCACAGCAGTTATGAACAGTTCTGAATTACATGAGGCCAGTGTGGGGAAGACATTTGCCAGGATTTTCTC